AAAAAAAAAAAAAAAAAAAAAAAAAAAAAAAAAAAAAAAAAAAAAAGGCAAAAAATAAAAAATTAGCAAAAAAAAAGAGCAAAGTCTCCCTTTTTTAGCAATCTGGAGGCTGTGCCTGTGACTCAGCAGTCACCAGACCAGAGCATCTGATCAGATCTGGCAGGAGGGAAAGCAGCACAACAAATCTGTGATTTTGTGAGAAATTCCAGCTCTGTGATGCTGCTGAGAGGTTTGGGATGAGAAAATGCCATTGGTGACTTCTCCTGGGACATTTGTGACAGGAGAAACSTGCTGGGTTCACTGCAGGGTGAGTCCTGGACAAACTGGAGGGTTCTGGATGCCTTTTCTGTTTGGGTTTCTCCCCCAGAGAGAGAATTAAAGAGAAATAAAACTAAAATATGCAGAAAACCMAAAGCACATCCCAAGTGAACAGCAAAAATGAGAGAGTGGGACAAACTCCTAAAATTCTCTTTCACCAATAAATAAACTCCTAAAATACTCAGTGGATCCCAGCCAGGGGAGAGCGGTGATGGTTGAGGATTTTAATTTCTTTATTTTTGTGTGATCCTGGAATTCTCCAGTGTTTAACTGCAGACTCCACAGACAGTTCCCAGCTCCTGCTCTCCCATTTTTACACAAAACAATTCCTCTGCAGCCCCAAACTCAAGGACACCTCCCTGGGCCAGGCCCCAAGAGATGGAAASRASAGAGAATTGGGGGGAGCCAAGTTGGAGTTTTTGACTGCATTGGCTGCAGCTGCAATTGGAGGATTCAGGCCCCATGTGCAAATGGACAAAAGTGATCAATAAATCAGTCACCAATACATCAATCAGTGATAAATCAGTGATCAATAAATCAATCAGTCCCCAATAATTCAATCAGTGATGAATAAATCAATCACCAATAAATCAATCAGTGATCAGTACATCAGTGATCAATAAATCAATAAGTTAATAATTCACCCATAAATCAATCAGCGATCAATAAGTCAATCACCAATAAATCAATCAGTCCCCAATAAATCAATCAATCACCAATAAATCAATCAGTCCCCAATACATCAATCAGTGATCAATAAATCAGTGATGAATAAATCAATCCCCAATCAATCAATCAATCAATCAGCGATCAATAAATCAATCAGTCCCCAATCAATCAATCAGCGTTCAACAAATCAATCAGTCCCTAATAAATCAATCAATCAGCAATCAATACATCACTTAGTCCCCAATAAATCAATCAATCACCAATAAATCAATCAATCAGCGATCAATAAATCAATCACCAACCAATCAATCAATCAATCAATCAGCCACCCCAGCCGTACCAGACAGGCTGAAGCCGGAC